TTAGGGACTGCTCTCTCTCAATGCATGGGACTGTACTTTAAAGTAAGAAATACAAAGGGATAATATTGCCTGAATCCTGATCATGCTTTACTCCGAGGGCAGGAAAGATATAGAACTGGTGCCAATGAGTTCTAGAGGACAGTTCTGAGACTAATGCAAGGGATTCCATTTGTAAAATTAAAAAGGCAAAAAAGAAAAAAGGAAGGAARGACAAAAGGCAGGGAAATAGTTTTCAAGCCCTTTAAAACTACTTAGCACTAATAACTTACTTTTGGTCTTACCAGTGCATACTGTATCCTTTCTTTAGACTCTTAACAGGGTCCACACATAATTCAAAGTGTCTACCTGCTTCTGAGGCTCCCTATTTGAATTTACTCCACATTAACCCTTTTCCCTTTTGTCTTCTGAAAACATGAGCTGTGTGATCAGAATTTTGCTAGCTGAAATTAGCTTATGAAAACTAAATTAATTTTGCTCTAGAAACTCAATATTGTATGAAAATAGAACTGTTCTTTGTACCAGTGACGGTATCACAAAATATTTTTAAAATCTGCTCAAGAATATACTTCTCAGATATTTCTAGTTTCCATAAAAATAAAGTATGACTTCCTAACAGGTATAGACAGGTAAAAGAGCTTACCACCCAAAGWAAGGCCAGCACCTAAATTGGCCTGCCCACCTACATACAGCTTCTGCATAGCTTCCAGTCAACATTGGACCATCTCCCAAATCCAGACAACCAAGGCTCATCAGACAGCAAGCTACCTGCTCTAATTTGGATGTGATTTGTCCCCCAAATGATTATGTRCTAGAGGGTGGTCCCCATTCTGGCAGTATAAAAAGGTGGTGATCCCTTTGAAGTGGGACCCAGTACAAGGGGATTCGGTAGAGTATTTCCCTCTCAAGGGAGTTCTGAAGGAGTTCTCAGAACTAAGTTGTTATAAAAGAACAAAACAGTACCTGAATTTCTGAGGCTAGTGTCATGTTATGTGATCGCTTCTCACCATGATTCCACAAGCTGAGGCCCTCCACATAGGTTGTACAGATAAGGTCATTGCCCAATCTTGGACTTTTCAGTCTTTAAATCCAACTGAGTAAACYTTTTATTCTTTATAAAGAACCCAGCCTYAGTTATTTTGCTATAGCAACAAARTGAACTAATAAACCACACCAAGAAAATAACCCTAAACAAGGGAAACAACAGGATTATTGGGCATGGAAGGAGTGGATTATCAAGATTATTACTTAATTATGCGGTATACAATGTTCTAGGTGTTTTACATATATTAACACTGACAGAAATCCAAAGAGGTAGTTACTATATTGTGTACATTTTGTCAGATAACATGACAAAGGTCAAATAGGAAGTAAGCAACAAAACCCAATAGTCCAARTTTTTAATTTCTATAACACTACTGCTCAACATGCAAAAGAGAAAAGACAAATACAGAATGTTCTCTCATATGTGAATACAAAATAAAAAATCAAAATAAATATAAAACAGTGATTACTACATGCTGCAAAGATTGGAGGGAAGTTAAATAATGGTACYAAAAACACAGCAGAGAGAAGTAATTTCTAGTGTTCTACAGCACTGGGTAGTGACTAYAGTTCACAATAACCTCTTACCTATTTTATGATTAACTAGGAAGGGCTTTGAAGGCTCCAAATACACAAT